ATCAGATATATTGACAATGATGCTTAATGCTGGAAGAAACAGAGAACAACCGATTCATGATATATAGGAGAAAGAATGTAAGCCAAGCAGTGAAAATTCCATCTTGGATAGGGAAGGGAGTCAAGAGCCCTCCCTGCGGCAGCTAACAGTTGCTTCTGTGATGCAACCACTGCTAAGTTGTTCGTGATCTAGTAAACAGCCCCATCCATGCTCCTGTGAGCAACCCCAATTAACTTCAGTGGGTCACACATACTAAATAAAACATTGCAGAACAAAAAACATGGAAGGAAGTAGGAGGAGAACTTGTTGGGTAGAAGGAAGGGGATGAGAGGGATCATGCGGTGTGAAACTGACCAAAATACATTACATACATGCTTGACATTATCAAAGTGTAAAAAAGAAATAAATTATTGACCCGGAAGTTAAAAAAATAACAATTTTCATTTGTAGCCAAACTGTTATGGGCTGAATTGCATCCTCTCACTAAACCAAAAAAGTTCACATGTTGAAAGCCTTAACCCCCGGCATCTTAGAAAGAGCAAATATCTGAAGACAAGGCCTTTAAAGGCAGTGATTAGGTTTGAATGAGGCTCTTCCATCTGACTGCAGTCCCTAAGAGCAGGAGGGCTGGGGGTGGAGCTCAGTCGTGCAGCACTGGCCTAGCATTCCACAGGCTTTAGGTTACAGCCCCATATGGTCAAAACAATTTTTAAAGGAGGTGGTTTGTACACATAAAGTCACCAAAAGCCTGCCAGGGCGGCATCTAGTTGAAATTCCAAGGCTAGCCTGGGCTACCCAGCAATGTCCAGTCTGAAATAATAAATAGAGAAAAGGTATCTATCAGGGGGAAAGGCTATGTGACACAGAGCAAAAAGGCAGCCATCTGCCAACCAAGGCTAGATGATGCCTCAGAGAAATCAAATCTGCCAACACCCGCCCCTTGGGCTTCTAGCCTCCAGCCCTGAGAAACACATTCTGCTGTTTACCTCACCCAGTCTCTGGGTTTTTTTTTTATGACATCCCCAGCTAAATAATATTCAAGGATAGAGTCTACAAGCTTGTCAACATGCACTCACTCAGGAAATACTGCTCTTGTGACCCCTTCCTAAGCAATCTGCTACAGAACCAATTCTAGAAAGAAAAAAAAAAAACACTGAGAAAAACATAGACAAAAGGACTGTTTGTGACCATTAGATAAACTAAAACTAAAAACGCACATAGATCCACGTCGAACTGAGATTCAGTGGTGCAGTTTGCAACAACTGCATATGGAGTACAGGTGCAGAGAGGGTGCAAACAGGTTCTGTGGTTTTGCTGTCCTGTTAGTGGTGGGAGCATGAATATTCTGTTTTGAGACAGTTGTGTATGGCATGGCATATGCAAGCGCATAATAATATGATCATTTAAGCCTATTATCTCCTATATTTGTGAATTCTTGAGTAGGAAAGGAGATTGAGAGGTAAGACAGCTCAGAAAACCCCCAAGACCTGACTTTGGAAAAAACAACTCATCAATATCTCCTGTAATATTTTTCCTGAAAAGGTTTGAAACACTGATCAACTCGGTACCTACGAGTATTGCTGCTAGCATCCAGACAGACAGTGGCCTTGAGATGCCATTTCCCACAAAACAGAAACCAGGCCTTTTTAGAGAAGTGATTTCAGGTCTATGCCAGGAAATGTATAAAATGAGCCTGAAGCATCAATTTTGTTCCATTTCTGAGTTCATTGTGACTGCTTTTTATATTACTGACATTTTTAGAATAGAAAAAAACAAGTAACTATTTTGAAAAAATTGAAGAGAAAAAGGCAAACATTTACATTGCTTTCCCTTAATAAACTATACCCTTAGCCAACGAAATAATAGATGTTTTTCTTTTTCCTAGAAAACAAATGATGAGTAATAGAATTCGAATGTCACCATGCTACAACCCTTAATGAATAAATGGACTTAGGCTTTAAGCAGCAAATGGCTACTAATAGCCCAGAGAGAAGAGTAAACATTGTGTGCCTTCTGCTAAGAGAATACAAAAACCATCTGTGCACTAGTCTTCCAAAAGCCTCCTACCTGAACCCGATGAAATCAACTACAAATACAAAGACAAAAATACAAGTCAGCCATGACGGTGAGTGCCTGGAATCCTAGCACTGGGGACATGGAAGCGGGAGGATCGGTTCAAGGTTCTCCTCGGCTGCATGAGACCCTGTCTTAAAACAATAACAAAAAAAGAAAAGACAGTAGAGGAGCTGGCACACTAGCTCACTGGGTAAAGGCACCTACCATGTGAGCCTGCTCACCTGAGTCTGAGTCCCCAGAACATGTCAAGGTAGGAGAAGAGATCCGATTCCACAAAGTTGTCCTCTGACCTCCACAAGTGCCATGTGGCATGTATGCATCATGTATACACACCATAATAATAAACTTTTAAAAAAAATTTAAAGAAAATACAGTATGGAGAAAATATGGCAATCTAGATCATGAGGAGACAGTCAACAAAATCCAGACTTGGAGAAGGCTCTAGAGGTCCATTTCCCAGTTTCTTCAGTAAACAAGTTGCCAGAGAGAACAGCTGGAAAGGTATTGGGAGTGTGGCTCAGGGCTCTCTACAGAGCTTACCCAAGCACACAGGAGACAGCGCTTCCATCCTCAGCACTGTCATTAAAGAAAAAGAAAGGCCAGTGTGCTGGCGCACACCTTTGACCCCAGCACCCAAGAGGCAGAGACAGTGGATCTCTGTGAGTTCGAGGCTAGCCAGGTCTACGGGGTGTGTTCCAGAACAGTCAAGGCCACACAGTGAGACTGTCTCAAAAATAGAGTCGGGGCTTAGGGGAAGAAAGACGAAAATATATTAGCCAGTTGGGTAAGTGTACGGACGATCAGAAGGCTAGGGCAAGGGACACTGCCCTGATTTGTTTAATATTTTAATTTAAAAATTAGATCTAGGCTGGAGACATGACTCAGCAGAGGACCAAAGTTTGGTTCCCAGTACCCATGTGGCAGTTTACAACTGCCTGTAATTCTGTACTGATAACCTCTCCTGTCTCCATAGGCATCAGACACTCACATAGTGCACAGACATACATTCAGGCACTCACCTATACACATAAAAATTTAAAAAAATCAGTCTTTTAAAAATTAGATCCATATGCACTGGTATTGGAAGATATCCAAATTCTATAGTATTTTTTTTAAAAGTCAGAACAGTATGTTCAGTATGCTCAAATTTTCATTTAATAAAATAAATAAAACTATGCATATTGGGATTATGCAAAGAGACTGCATATAAGTATGCAGCAGTCAACAGAGCTATTCTCAGGGCTGCCGCTACAGAGGAGTTCTCTCAAAGTGTGACTTGCTATAATGCCTATCTGAAATCTAATGAGCACCTTTTACTTTTGTAATCAGCAAACAAGCTGAAGGAAAGACAGAGGGAGGAAGAAGAGGGAGGGAGGGAGGGAGTGGAAGAAGGACAAAGAAAGTTTCTTAGCTCTTAAGAACCTTCCAGATTAATAGTCCGGTGTGCTGGCGCATGCCTTTAATCCCAGCAGGTGTAGGCAGGCGGATATCTGTGAGTTCGAGGCCAGCCTGGTCTACAGAGCAAGTTCAGGACAGCCAGTGCTGTTACACAGAGAAACCCTATTAAAAAAAATAAAACCAAGAAAGGGGCCGGGCGGCGGTGGCGCACACCTTTAATCCCAGCACTCGGGAGGCAGAGCCAGGTGGATCTCTGTGAGTTCAAGGCCAGCCTGGGCTACCAAGTGAGTCCCAGGAAAGGCGCAAAGCTACACAGAGAAACCCTGTCTCGAAAAACCAAAAAAAAAAAAAAAGGAAGGAAGGAAGGAAGGAAGGAAGGAAGGAAGGAAGGAAGAAAGGAAAGAAAGAAAGAAAGAAAGAAAGAAAGAAAGAAAGAAAGAAAGAAAGAAAGAAAGAAAGAAGCGTTCAGATTATAAACTGAGGCATTCCCCTGACTTGACCACACTACGCAATGAGGAAACAGTGAGAAGTCGTCCTAAAGCAATCCTCAGTGCTTTGCATCTATGTTTAAAATCCGTCCTTTTGACTAGCTAGTCCACTGCTGTCACCCCTTAAAATTTACAGCCTGACCTGGGGACTGCTGTCCTGGGAGAGGCGCTTGTCTAGCATGTGCATGGCCTGGCACTCCAAAAACTCTAAAAACACTACAATTCAAGCACCCTTCCTCACACATGGATTCCTGATTAGGGGTGTGTGTGTGTGTGAGAAAATCAGGACTCAAAAACAAGCCACTGCTTCAAGTTTCAGCAACGCTTTTCTCTACCTTTGATGCTCTGAGGGAGACAACACCCTTATCTTTTTCTGTTTATCTTATATGCCAGGGGCTCTCAAGAGTGCAGTCCCCAAACCCGCATAAACAAACTCTTAGGCCCCATCCAGATCCACCAAGTAGGAATTTCTCTTCTGATAAGTTCTCTAGCAGGATTGCCAGATAAAATACAGGATAGTGAAGTTTGAAATTCAAGTTTGTGATGAATTTCTACCAAAAATATCTGTAGCAATTGGGACACACATATTCAAATTTCATGGAACATCCTGGTTTTTGTTTGTTTGTTTTTCTTTTTGGTTAGTTGTTTTTCTCAATCCGTCAGCTTGCTTTCCAGGGTACTGTAACCATGTTTGAGGGCTAGGGTAGAGGGAGGGAGGGCGAGATGCTTGTGTTCACACCGGCACGACTACATTTCGTTTGTTAAAAGGAGAATGGAATTCCACAAATATGACTGTCATCTCCTTATGACAGAAGACCCATGACAAGGAAGCAGAGATGTGGGGACAGAGCCAGTCAGCCTCAGGGCCTAGGATAAAGTTTGGTAGCAGAAGGGACCTTGATTTTACCAGAAAATTAAAACATACTGACTGACTTCAGCTCCAGACCTCATAAAGTTCTGTCTCCACACCAGGACAACTGTGGATGATCTAGGGTAGACAATAGGTTAGGGGGACACCAGAGAAAGGGCAAAATATACTTTAAATTTTTGCTTGTTTGTTTATTCATTTGTTTCAGGAAGGGTCTTGATATGAACCCAAACTGGCTTCGAAGTCATTATGTAGTGCAGGCTAGCCTTAAACTGGAGAGCCTCCTGTTTGTACCTCCCAAGTGCTGGCATTACAAGTGTGCATGACCACACCTGTTTGGAAAACAGAACTTTTTTAAACATTTTATTTTATATGCATTGATGTTTTGCCATGGGTGTTGGGTCCCCTGGAACTGGAATTACAGACAGTTGTGAGCTGCCATGTGGTTGCTGGGAATTGAACCAGGTCCTCTGGAACAGCAATCAGAGCTCTGAGCCATCTCTGCAGCCCCTGAAAAACAGAACTTTTTAATAGAGTAAGAAGACTATACAGGACACAGGAAAAAAGCTGACTTAAAATTGGCCAAGGTCAATTGGAGCTCACATCAGGCTGACCATCACTGACTTTGGGTAAAAACTAGAGAAGAGACACTCCCTTAGAGGGCAGAGAGGCTCCTGGGCAGTCCTGTCGGTGTCTAAGGCAGTAGTTCCAAATCAGGGGAGATTTTAACCCCTGGTAATGTCTGGAGACATTTTGGGTTGTCAAAGTGTGGAGTGGGCATCTTAGAGACATCCCGAGATACTGTTCAACATCACTCCACAGCCCCAGACGGCCCCTCTACAGAGAATTATCCAGTTGCAAATGCCAAGTTCCACGTCCCGGAAACTACTCCAAGCACATTAACACAAAGAGCCGCCCGCCCGCCGCTGCCGCCTTCACACTGCCTGTCCCGTCTCCCTCATCTCTCAGCCCGAGACCAGGCTGTCCTCTCCCGTGAGAATCAGCTATGTATGCACATTCCTGTAAATCAGAAGGCTGATAACGAGCTCTCTCTGTCTCAGGGTTCTAATCTGCAAAATGTGGGTAAAAATACTTAACTCATAGGTTTGTTGCAGAGATTAAATGAGTAATTTAACAGCTGAAATTCCGACATCTATTGAGCGCCTACACTGTGTGCCACGTACTCAGAGCCCACACATAGTCTTTGCTAGTGAGGACTTTGGCAAGTTTTATAGCACACAGCAGATTTTCAAACAGAAGCTAATCTCATCACCCATACTCTTCCTCTCCCTTATTAGACAAGAGACCTAATCCTCTTGTTTCCTTCCCGGAGAGTAGACGGAACAGTAGAATTATACCTCATTCAGAAGAGCTACCTGAATCAGTGCTGTTTGTTAAGGTCTCTCATTATTAGTTCCAAACACAGCACCAAAGCTAATATGCCATATGTATTTACTTCACTTGACAGTTTCATATATATCTATAATGAGTGGTCATTATACACACGTCATTTTCACTCCCAGGAATCTCTCACTCTCCTCCCTCCCTGGCTGAACCCCTTCTTCTTCCCAACAAGTCTCCCAGACATTGCTCTGATTTAAAAAAATAATAATTTAATTTAAAAATTAGGTCTAGGCCAGAGAGCTGGCTCAGCAGTCAAGGGCACTGGCTGCTCTTGCAGAGGACCAGAGTGTGGTTCCCCCTCCTCCTCCCGTGTCTTGTGGGGGAGGGGACTCGGTCACCAACACATTGTTCTTAATCATCAAAAGAGGCTGGGGTCTGGGAGGGCTGCTCAGTGGCGGAGTGCCTGGCTCCGGCTCCGGCTCCGGTTGGTTTCTTTCGTTTGTGTAAACAGTGTACCCTCCAGAGCTCTCTTATCAAAGCTCACGCTCCCTCTTTCTCCTTTATTTCTTTTTTAACAAGCCCTGGGAAGTTTTATCAGAGGCAAATTAACATTTTTGCATGGTTTACCTTTTAGCAATCTGTTCTGTCATGCTTCTAATATCACAATCACCTAGAAAAAGAAAAACAGTCATTTTACAATTCACTCACCTGCAACTGGCATTCAAATTTCCTGCAGTGGCTACACATTCTTTACTCAAGACAACTGATTCTACGCAAATCATTGCAGCAGCTGCACTGACACTAACTTAGAATGCTAGCCATCATCTGATCGCAGGGGAGATGATCGTACAATCAATCAGACCTGCTTTATCACCAGAATTTATAATACCAGGGAAACACCCAGGGAAACAACTAGGATGAATCTGGGGATTCATCCACGACCTTAGCACAGTCAAGGTTCAGCCTGTCCTGATTTCCAGCAGATAAGAAGAGCGAAGATGTTTGCAGTCGGTACTTCAAATGAGTTCAAACCTTTCCACCCATGAGGATTCTGTTCACTGTGACTGTGTGCAGTGTCTGCCTCCTCTTTAAAGGCCCTCCCCGCTTCAGCAGCCATGATTGCCTTCTTTTCTGGGCAAGCCAGGTCTGCCATGCTGACCATTTTCATTCACAGTCCTTACCATAAACTCAGTATGTTCATAATTCAATTCCAAACAAGGTCGTTAACAGAACAAGAAAGTCAAGTTGCCAAAAGTGAGGAAATCCGTTCTACTAAAGAAATACAAATAAAACAATAATGTGGTGTTTCTCATAAACTTAATGAAAATGATAATATCCAGTACTGGTGAAAATTCGTGGCCACAGGCACTTTTACACTGTTGGTAGAAATATGAGCCTCTGTAACCTTTTAGAAAAATAATGCCCATTAAAGTTTAAAATGCATACATATATCCCTTACATACTTGCACATACTTGCTTAATACTTGGACCTTAAGCACACATGTACAAATATGTCTGTGGCAACAGGAAACTGAAGGTAAATAATACTATGCTATGAATTGAGAGATGTGATTAACTCAGCCTGCATCACTAAGGAAATGCCCAAATTAATAACACATTATCCTTGACCCTACAGTTTATTTCAAGTTTTGCCAGTAACAATTCTGCTGCAATCAATATCCCTTCTCTTGGTGATTTTCTTTCTATAGCATGTATGTTAAATGGTGGTATCTTCACCTATAATGCAGTACACAATTATCAGAAAGCCAGCTATAAGACTGCAGATGTGGCTCAGCTGATAGAGTGCTTGTCTAGCTTGCAGGAAGCCCCGGAGTTGATCTCTAGCATTGTATAAACTGGTGATGGTGGTGCATAGTCCAACACTCAGGAGGTGAAGGCAGTAGAATCAGGAGTTCAAAGCCATCATTGGCTTCATAGTGAGATTGAGGCCAGCCTGGGTTACACAAGACCTTGTCTCAAAACCAGAAACAACAGAGAGAGGTTAGAGACACGGGTCAGTTGGTAAGAGTGCTTGCTGCACAGTGGTGAGGACTGGTATTTGGATACCAGCACCCATCTAACAAGCCAGGCATTAGGTGCATGCTTGTAATTCCCACTCTGAGGCAGCCAGAGACGGAACATCACTGGGATTCCAGCCCTAGGACAAAATGTGAGCCTTAGGTTCAAGGAGAGACCCCACCTCAAAGAAATATGCAGAGTGATAGAAGAAAGCATCAATGTCCTCTTCTGGCCTCCATGGGCACACATTGGCGGAATGTCTGCAGACAAACACATATATACACTCACATAGACACATTTACATAGACATAAAATAAGTGAACGAAAGAATCTTTTTAAAGTCAATGTCAGGGGCTTCAGGCAGGCAGGTATCTGTGAGTTTCAGGCCAGCTAGGGCTACATAGGGATACTCTATCTCTGAATAATAAATAAATATATAAATAAATATCTTCTTAAATAAAGGTTTTATTACAGAGAAGCACATGTCAAGCCACATCACAATGAATCTTCATAAAACAAAACAAAGACAAAGTCTTGAAGTGACTCAGAGAGAAATACTGCATCACTCACAGAGCTCCCCAGTCTGAATGAGAGTACATCTCTCATCTGAAGCTGTGTAGGACAGAATGAAGTGGAACATTTTTCAAATGCAGGAGCAAATGAACTGTCAGAAAACAGCAGAATACATGATGAACTTAGAACCGTGCCCAAATGTAGGAAACTGTACCCTCAAAACAAATGATAAGGGTAGGTGAAAAGGGTTAAGAGCAGGCTAAAAGGGCTCCCATGGCCAAACTGGAACAATCTGAGCAAGAAAATGAAGCGGTGCTAAATTATAACCCAAAGTATAAAAACATACCCATGAGTCCATGCCAATATAAATCAATGATTGTTGTACTGAACGGACAAAAGGACAGACAGACCAATACATTCATACACACATGCATGCATGGGGAGAAAGAAGAGAGCAATGTTCCATTCCAACAGTATCTGTAGACTCTCCTCCCTCAAAGAAATGAAGTGCGACTCTATTCCTTCACTTTGGATGTACATACTGGCTTCCAAAAGTCTAGTACAGAGAGGGGGTAGTAACTTTCTGTGGCGACAGTAAAGCCTGACAAAACTCCCTCAGCCAGCTTAGAAAGCTCAACACTGACAGTAGTAGGGTGTTTTCAAAGTAGGTATCCTTGACACGACATGGCGAAAATTTGTCTACCTCCGTAGTCTTCCCCAAGTCCATAACTCAGTCCAATGGTGACAAATGCATCAGACAAATTCCATTATTTTACAAAACAACTGACAAGTAGTCACTGAAAACATCAAGGTTTGAAAAATAAATGTGTGCGAAACGGTCACAATCACGGTGACTAAACGTCAGGCATTGTTCTGGACAGTATGTCAGAACAGATAAAAAATAACAGATAAAAACTAAGGGACCCTAAGGGCTAAGGAGATGACTCTGTGGAGAGAAGCACTCGTAACACACGTATGAGGACACGAGTTCAAGTCTCCTCTGTAAAAGGCCAGTCTGTACATGCCTGTAACACCAGTGCTGTACGTGCTGGAAACAGGATTGCTGGGGCTGGGTGGCTTCCGGTCTAGCTCTAAGTTCTGTGAGAGACCCTGTCTAAGGGGACAAGGTGGAGAATGAACATGACATCGGACAACCACTTCTAGTCTCTGGAGAAAGTTGTCCTCTGGCCTCCACTTCTGTCCTGTGGCTTGCATGCACCCTCACACCACCACACTGCCCCCCATAACACAACAATAATTCATCTTAAATTAAAATTTAAAAAACACCATAAATAGCCGGGCGGTGGTGGCACACGCCTTTAATCCCAGCACTCGGGAGGATCTCTGTGAGTTCGAGGCCAGCCTGGACTACCAAGTGAGTTCCAGGAAAGGCTCAAAGCTACAAAGAGAAACCCTGTCTTGAAAAACCAAAAAAAAAAAAAAAAAAAAACCACCATAAATAGGTTAGATGTAGTGATGCAAGCCTAGAATCCAGCACTTGGGAGGCAGATGCAGAAAGATCTCAAGTTTGAGGCCAGCCTGGGTTACGTAGTAAGACCCTGTATCCAATAAAAATCCACAGGAAAATAAGGAAATAGAAAGAAAGAAACAGAAGAAACGGAAACAGGAAAAGAGTACTAAAATGCCAGACTCCAGGCATAACATACTGACAATTACCATTGTGAGTTTGTGTTCTCTCCAAAATGGATGTTGAAGTCTTCACCTCAGAGCCTTTCAAAGGGACCCCTTGTGGAAACAGAGTCTTCGCAGATGTAGTCAGGTTACAATGAAGCCGTTTCAGGGCTGGAGGAATGGCTCCACGATTAAGGGTACTGGCTGCTTTTGTAGAGGACCCAGGTTCAGTTCCCAGCACTCACATGGTGCTTCACAACCATCTGTAACTCCAGAGAATGGGTCCCAAGTCCTCTTCTGATCTCCACTGACACCAGATCCACGTGAGGTGTACACACACACATGCAGGCAACACACACACCCACACCCACACACACACACACACACACACCCACACACACACACACACACACACCCACACACACACACCCACACCCACACACACACACACACACACACACACACACACTTAGAAACTAAAATAAATGTTTAATGGAGCCATTAGGGTGAGTCCTAACTTAACAAAGCTGATTTCTTCACAAGAAGGTGGAAGTCTGAAGAAGTCATAGAGACAAGAGGGTGCCATGTGAAGACAGATGCACAGGAAAGATGGTCCTCTGAGGACAGGACAGAGGCTGCAATTAAGCTGCTGTAAGTCGGGGAACACCTGGGGCTAACCCACCAGAAGTGGGGCCATGCAAAGAAAGGTCCTTCTCCAGAGGCTCTGGGTGGAGCATGGCCCTGCCCACAACTCAGGCTCCAGAACTGTGACAGGATAACTATCATTTTATGGCTCTTGTCACAGCAACCTCAGGGCACTAATACAATCGATTACCTAAAATGCAAATGGCCTGATTAAAATACAGATATCGATAGACTAAATTAAAAAAATCACTAGCCAAATATGCCATTTTGCTGAAAAGTCACTTGAAATGTAGTATAGCCAGTTTGAAGAAAGAGAGGCAAAAAGCTGTCTCCTACAGAAAAGTGAGTTAACTTGGTATGGAATGACCTAGAGCATATCCACTGCAGATGATCAGCTGGGGAAATCAAGTTGCAGTGGATTTTACATGTCTGTATAAAAGAAATAACCTCATTTTTATATGAAAATATCCATTATTGGGTCTGGAGAGATGGCTCAGCAATTAAGAGCACTTGGCTGCTCTTGCGGAGGACCCAGGTTCAGTTCTCAGCACCCAGGCAGCTCACCACTAATTGTTTATACCTCCAGCAAGGGAATCCTGCCTCAGGCCTCCGTGGCCACCTACACTCACATGCACATACCCACATACAGGCACACACAAGCACATAACTAAAAATAAAGTAAATCTTAAAAAAAGAGAGAGAGAGAATACCCATTATTCAAAATCACACACTCCCCCCCCCACCCCCGACAGAGTTTCTCTGTGTAGTTTTGGTGCCTGTCCTGGAACTCACTCCGTAGACCAGGCTGGCCTCGAACTCACAGACATCTACCTGCCTCTGCCCCCTGAGAGCTGGGATTAAAGGCGTGCACCACCACTGCCTGGCTTTTCAAAATCACATGCTTTTTACATATGCATATACACACTCATAAAGACTATGTCAAAGGCCATATCTATTGGTTCCCTCAATGTTACAAGTGGACAGTAGAAGGATGCAAAAGGGGACACGTCATGACAAATGTGGCAATTATAATTATTATTACTTTGTAACCAGGAGTACACTACCCATTTTTTTTTTGAGACAAGAACTTATTATGTAAATCAGGCTGCCTAGAGCTTGCAGCAATCCTCTTCCCCCTGCCTCCTGAGTGCTGGAATTGCATGCATGTGCCACCATGATGGGCAGCTTTGAATAATGTTATGGTTGCCAGTGGCTTGTATCAGGACAAATAAGCATAATAAAATGCCAAGGAGAAACACAGAAGTAGAGAATGTGTTTCTCAAGTTGCTGCTTTGCTGAACTTTCTGTTTGGTTGGTTGGTTGGTTCATTGGTTGTTGTTCTTTGGGTTGAGACAGGGTTTCTCTGTGTAGCTCTGGCTGTCCTGGAACTCACTCTGTAGACCAGGCTGGCCTCAAACTCACAGAGATCCACCTGCCTCTGCCTCCTGAGTGCTGGGATTAAAGGCATTCGCCACCACACCAGTCTGCTTTGCTGAACTTTTGATAAAATTCTTTCTGTCCTTATAAAGATATTTTAAATTGTTAGTGAGGAGTTCAAAGTCACCGGGGCTGTAGGACTCCTTGTTGGAGCCGCTTAAGGAAGGCTAATCCAGTTGTGTTAGGCACCTGGTTATTTGCATATTTTCCAAGTTCCTGTCTCTTTTTTATATTGAAAAGATAACTGTGGGAGATCTTTTACACACAATCTGTCTTTTACATGTCTCACTCTATATATACAAGGAAGGGAAGAGACATTAACTTGATCATCTTGTATCTTGGGATTGTTTTAATTGTTACAGTGAGAATATACTGGGTTTTTAATCAGAAATAAAATTGAAATTAACAAAAACAAACGAACAGAAAAGCCTGTCTTTCCTCACGCACGCACGTACTTTTGCTCCTTTCCCTGTGTTAGTAATAGTGTTGTCACTGGTGTCAAGAAAGACTGTGACTCCAGGTCACTCCTGTGATCTTCCACCCTTCCTTATTAGTCACCAAATCCAGATTCTAGTTATAAATAGCCCTACTTCCTCTAATTAACCTAGCCTAAATCTCTTTTAAAATCCCTTCCCTTCTTCACTGCCCTTGCCAATAAGGCTTTTTTCGTTTAGAAGTTTGTCATCTCTGGGTATTTCAATTGCCTTTGATGTAATCTCCTCCGTTACTCCTCTGCCTAATCTCTTTCAATAATGCACTCGGCAATGGCTTTCTAAAAAAGTGTCCGTGTATACAAAGTATAGCAATACATATACTATTATTATTTTAATAGTTTCTCTTTAATGTTATAAATAAAACATATCACAAGTTCATGACGCCAAAGATAAGACATGAAGGCAAAATACAGTAAGTGAAGTTTGGAAAGCATTGCTTTACAGTGTAAGATAAGAACTGGTAGTCCCAGCCCACCTTCTCACTGCCACCTTCAGGAACATTCCTGAACCTTCTCTTTAGTTAGAGAAGGCCTTTAGAC